ATTATTATTATTATTACTATTATTATTACTATTATTATTATTATTATTACTATTATTATTATTATAAACATTGTCATTTCATCATTGCAATTTCTTTTTCAGCTATTGATTTAATTAATAACTTACTTCAAGTCAAGCAGAGGAAACGTTTTACTGTGGACAAATCTCTGGCACATGTCTGGTTACAGGTATGCCTATCAATTCTGTTATATAAACTTGGTGATCTGTTCCTTTCATAATTAAATGAAGGTATGGATTGATATATGGTCTGTGTTCCAGAGCTGTCTTTCAGCAATTGCGAACTCCTATATATAACATCAAGTTTAAAATACTTTCTAATATTAGACATTTAAAAGTATGCCCACAGTGTATTGCAGTATACTAATTTCACTGTTAATTTTCTACCATGTTTTCAAGTTAGCAAAGCATAATTCACTTTAACAAATATAACTGCAATTACCTTTATATCCAACTTCAGAATAAAATTTAAATTCATAAACAAATAAAATTCTTATTTAAATAAATTCTTAACACACTATTAATGTAATACATAATCTTCATTTTCATAAAAGTGATGAGCAGGTACATAATGTGGAATCTTGGAACATTATAAGTGGAGGAAGAGTATTATCGCAACATTTTTATATTTCTTTGTTCAGAACTATAAAAAGGAAATGAAATTAATTTACTGAAAAATAACACATAAACACACACAATATATACTAATATGATTGCAAATAACCAAATAAAAATGAAATGAAAGCAAATACTAATAGACAAACGCTAAAAGTAATGCTAATCAACTGCAAAAATGGTGACCGTAGACTGTACACGTAAACTTCATAAGCATGTACACGTAGACTGTTCAATTCAAAGAAAAACATGGAAACATGATGTGACACTAAAAGCAAGAGAAAAGCTGATGCAAGCATAGAAAAGCACATTTCTTTCGCTCTGGGTTCATTATCAAATTGAAATACCTTCTATGTTCTCTGCAAGTACCCTGGAAACAACACATTAAGACTGCGCTGCAGCACTAGAAAACACAAGAATTGTGGAATATGTTACTGACAGGCTCAGGGGGATTGTTAAATATGCAAATAACTAATTTAATGGAATTGGGACAAGACCTAAAAATACTTATGTACAAAAATGTAACAATGAATTTGCTAATAATATTCCACTACATCTTGTGTTGTCAATATAGGGTAGCAGTATGAACTGTGCCATTGAAATACCATATAAAAAATGTTTGTTAATTTATGTAAATAGTTTTTTAATTTCAAATGCCACAATTTTCATCCATGTATATATTTTTTTTAGAGGGCGGATTAAGAGAGGTGTTTTTTATACAGGTTATGAAATGTGTCAATTCTCACTATTTTTTAATGTAAATTATAATCTTCTGGTAGTCATTCTACATCGCATAAATGACATTTAAACACATTTGAACACCATATTTGAAAAAAACTCAATATCAGTAATAATATCATAAACATTTTTTATCAAAATTTCAAATTAATATGAATTAACTTTGAAATTTCAATTACGGTCACATACCAAGGGAGGTGGGAGTTGCTGTTTGAACTCGTAATTCTGTCTTCCATACCTGACTATTTCCTGTGAGTATCACCCTGTCTCATCCCTTTAAAATATCAGCAAGCATTCACTACAGAATCTGAATTCCATCTCCAACCATCACTTGCCGAATCTAAATAGCCTGAGACAAAATCAAGGTTCTTGAAAAAATGTTACCTTAATTTTCACTTGTCTTTTAACTTTCTACAACTAATTTTATCGTTGGTTTTAACCCATCTGCAGACGGTCACTTATTCTGTCCTGATGCTGACATCAGCAATAAAATATGTAATCATTGGTAGTACATTTCTCTTTCATTCCTTTATATCATGTTATCTTACAAAAAGTTATGCTTTAGAATGAGCCACGTCCCCAATCGTGACTGTGTTTAATTTATATTATGATTATCCAGTGTTCAATATTTACTGTGTATTTCAGCCTCAAATGCTCACGAGTCCTGAAGTTTGTTCTGGTCATATTGGCATTTTATTGTTGTCATATCCAACAAGGCAACCATATGTCCTCTGTATAAATATGTTATACAACTTGTATATTGCCATTTCTGGGTTCCAATGCCCTAAAATAAGTGTAGTTTTTAAACATGTAACTCCTTCCTTTAATTATATTGCAATTTTTCTTTGGTCCGCTGACAACCCCCTCTTCCCCCCAGTCTTCATCGGCTACAGAAATGGCATTGATAAGCATCTATTAATATTCCCATCACCAGTTTTTTCTAGACTATGCCTCCGTTCTATTCAAATACTTGTTCTTCATTAAACAACATACAAAATATCATTTTATATTTTTTTTCCCTTCACATTTTCTCACTCCACCTTCAACATGGTTTTCTATAAACTGAAAATCCTTATTAACATGTATTTGAAGGGACCAAAGTAATCAGTGTTCATTGGGTAAAAAATTGTTATTAGTTACTTACTGTGTATTCCTGCCGGAACCCAAATTTGGTTTATATTACAGCTAAATTAGCGTTAAGCAAGAACATGCTAACAAGTATTTTCTATACTCAAACACTGGAAAGCGTTGCTGTTAAGGAATACAGTATTAATAAAATCCCAGAATGTACAAATTCAACAAAAATGAAAATTAAAACGAAATGAAATTTCCCCTTAAATTCTTCAATTACTCTGAAATGTCAGTCTCAGTATACCTCAATTTTGGCATATCAAGATCCCCCTCATGCTTCATTAATGCTCTTTTTTATCTAGTGCACATGATCATTAATTTTTTCTTTTATTTCTCCAAGTTTTTCAGAATTGCTGGGAGGCTTTGCAACTTCATTTTTCTAACAAAACTAGTGTGGTTAAATAATATCTGCCCCACTTCCCCACAATGAATAATTCATTACTATTTACAGATCTTGTCCTTTCCTAAATTCATATTTTCTTCTTTGAATATTTCAATTTGTGCGTGTACTTCTCACTCATTTTAAGCATGAATGGGGGCCCTGCTGCAGCTTAAATATTAAAAATCAGCATTCTGCTGTTTCAGGTCTCTTGATTCCAAGCCAATAAGCTGGGAAACAATGAAAGCCAATCAATGAAGACATTGAACTCGAACAATAGTACACATAAGACATTGACATTATTGGTACGGATATGGGTAGCTGGTATACACAGAATGTGCATGGGATGTTGTATTTACATTGGTGCTTGTCAAAGCCACATGTCTCTAAGCCCCTAGAAGAGCATTGAGCGCTTTGCAATTAGGAGTATTCCTCTATTCACATTCATTAATATATCTCAAGTCTTGACACAATTTTCACAAATTTCACATGAGTTTGTTCGGTAATCAGACCAGGACCTCAGTGAAAGAAAAGCTATTTGCATTGAAAATATTATTTTTCTGGACAAAAGACACACAAATTCTGTCTGCCACATGTGCTGCCATGTAAATATTTGTTGATATAATCCAAATGAAAACTAAGAGGTGATCAATGAAATGAAGTGTAAATTGCTTTTGTTATTAAATAACATTTTAGAATAAAAGCCTTACAAAGTATATTCAAATGTCAATTGAGTTCAAAGCAGTGGCATATGGGATTACACTCATAGCATTAGCTACAAGAAATTGCCCATTAACATAATCAAAAATTTGTATTTCTCAGTCAGATTCAAAAGTGCTATTGATTTCATATTTCACTCACTCTTACTCTCTCACTCACTCACTTTCTCACTCTCACTCACTTTCTCACTCTCACTCACTTTCTCACTCTCACTCACTCTTTCTCACTCTCACTCACTCTTTCTCACTCTCACTCACTCTTTCTCTCACTCTCACTCTTTCTTTCTCTCTCACTCTCACTCTTTCTTTCTCTCTCACTTTCTCTCTCACTCTCACTCACTTTCTCTCTCACTCTCACTTACTTTCTCTCTCTCTCTCACTTTCTCTCTCTCTCACTTTCTCTCTCTCTCACTTTCTCTCACTCACTTTCTCTCTCTCACTCACTTTCTCTCTCTCACTCACTTTCTCTCTCTCTCACTCCTTCTCTCTCTCACTCTTTTCTCACTCTTTCTCTCTCTTCTCTCACTTCACTCTTCTCTCTCTCTCTCTCTCATCTTTCTCTCTCTCTCTCACTCACTCTTCTCTCTCTCTCTCACTCACTCTTTCTCTCACTCATCTTCTCTCTTCTCTCTCTCTCTCACTCACTCTCTATCTTCTCTCTCTCTCACTCACTCTTTCTCTCTCTCTCTCTCATTCTCTCTCACTTCTTTCTCTCCTCTCTCTCATCACTCTTTCTCTCTCTCTCTCTCTCTCACACACACACACACACACACACACTTTACAGAACCACTTATGCAGGGTGATGCCACCCCTTTAAAATGTTTGTGTACTGAAACAAAATAATGGAAGCCTTTTTCAGCATTCCATGCAACACAATCCAAATTCATTGAAATTGGAGAAGGACGTCTCTGAAAATTTTATTTCAATTTCAAATCTTCAATATCTGTTGTTCACAAATCTCCAAAAATAAAATCAATCGCTACATACATACGTTAAATTTGTTATAAATATCAATTTGTTGTAAGAAAGCTTGTCAGCTTCATAAATAGTGATGTGATATACCACATTGTTTTTTTCTGAATGTCTTCACAGCCATACACCTTCTATTAATTCAGGGAATCTCTTTCATATCTTCATGTGATGTATCCATTCCAGTATTTATCTTCACATCGTGTAAGAATTGTCTTGTGAAGATACTGGAGTTAAGGGTTACCATATTGTGTTACCATGTTACATTGTAGGTTAGAAATGGTGCTGTGCTTCTATTTCCAGTGATAACTGACTGGGATCACTATTATATTTGTATTGCTCATGTACCCCCTAATAGTATTTAATTTGAATATCTTGTATTTAGTTATTGTGGGCTGTAGTGATTCTTTCAACAGATGCGAAATGTTTGTCAATCTATTAATGTAATTCTGACCCATTTTATGAGACATCTCAGCAAAACCTTGTAATGTTCATTCAGGATTATCAGACATGGTGTGATTTGCGGGAACTTGAGTCGCAAGTGGGACTTCGCTACCTAACGCATGAATCCGACGATGCTCGATGGGAAGCATTCCAACGGGATCGGCTTTGACCACGTAGAAGATGGGTTTTTGCTGCAAAAGTTCGCTGGAGACGTTTTGCCAAAGTGTGAGTCTTCTAGGTTTACAAGCATATATTGTATGCAAAAAAAAGCATCATGAATTGTTTCACAATTATTTGTTGAGATACTAAAAATGCAGATGCACCTATTATGAATCAGTTAACTTTTTAGTGTATTTACTGACTTTTTAAATTAATAGGCTTAATGAATATTTGTTATGCGGCATGAACCTTAATATTTTTTATAAGTTTCTATTATTAATTACCTTTTTTTTATAATTACCTTTTTTTTTTGGTACTTTCGAAACGCTTATTTTATGTTTTTTTTTAAATTTATTCGTTACTGAATAAGTATAGAATAATCACAAAGCCTGACCAAAAAAAATATTTCACATGTTTTTAATTATTCTAACAGAATATTAATCTGTTCTTTAAAAGAAAATTAAATTTTGAAAGGATTTTGCCTTTCATGTAAGATACTGCCAGAAAATTATTCTTAATCTTCCTTCTCTATAAACGCTATATATGTTGTATAATGGATTTCAAGTGCCAGCAACTATTAATGAACTCTTTAACATTAATTGCGCTACACAGTTCTTCCATGGGAGTAATTTATGAATTTTTGACAGGGTAGTAGTGTAAAATTTCTTTAAGTATAAATAAACAGTTAAATTGACATGAAAATTAATATTCTTTATTTGCATTATGAAAGAAATTTCTCTTTAGTTGAAGTGAAAGAGAGTAATTAAAGGCAACATGGGAGTGTTTCTTTCTCACAGAATGCGATCCAGAGACATTGAAAGATATTTTATATGAATTTATTAATGTGTTTTATGAGTCGAGAGGAATTTTAAAGATATATATTTTGAAGTAATAATGCTCTGTGTATGCATGTGTGTGTGTGTGTGTGTGTGTGTGTGTGAGTATATGAAGTGGATGAGTGTGAGGATGGAATAATTTGATGTAGATATCAACTTCACAACATCGATTTGTGTAGATTGTTACCGGGCTGATTGTGCTTTCTGATATTAAGCATGCAATAGTGCTGTGTTTTTTGCTATCAGACTTATAATACTCATACAAATTATGTATTGAAAACTCTGTGCATTGTACAGTTCTCATGTGGATTATATACAATCCACTGATAAGGTTTTTTAAAATAGACTGATGTATAAGCACGTTTTCTGGTAGGTTGAGGTTGTACTGTGACTGAATGGGTTGAGTGTTTGTAGGTTGTAGGTTGAAAGCCAATCACTTCATGATGGCAATAGCCATAGCTTTTCAAAAGTTTGTGGTTTTGGTATTTAACACATCGCTGTACCTTCAGTATTTTAGTGATGATACATTGTAGAATGAAATGTTATACAGTATGTTTTAGAATAGTCAATTTGACATTTTTATATATATACATATATATATATACATTAGTATACATATATTTAAAAATTAATATTGCAACGACATCATGAAAATGTCCATTTTTTATAGACAAATAAGTTTTGTTTTCATATTTTCAGTGGCTTTATGGCAATGTAGAACATTCTATTAGTATTAAATTATATTTTAAACATGTACATTGTCATGAAATATAACCATGTCTCAGAATAGATCTGGAATAGCCTGCAAACTTGTCTTGCAGTTGTGTTGTTCTTACCCTTATTGTTTTTACAATGTGCTAGAGAGAGCCGATTGATAGCAGTGAAAACTTAGCACATTGTTATCTCTCAAAATATAAGAAGTTTCTTTACATCTGGATCTGGGTAATTTTGTGAAATAACATAATTTTAATATATAATGAGAGAGGTGTGCTTGAGAAACAGAAACACTTTTGGATGGGACCAGAGATAGTTAAAAAGGCCTACATAACAATATCTGTTTTTAAAATTGTGATTTTAAAAATATGGTAGAAGTATAAAACCTGCAAATACAAACCACCACCTTCACCTATTTTTATTCCTGGTAATTGAAAAATAGTCCTTGAATTTTTTAGAGCAAATAGCAGGCTATATCATAAGTAAAGCAGAACTATCCAGCATTAAAGTTTACTTGCAATATCACTTCAAAATTTATTTATTTTATATCTTATGTGTAACAGTGTGTATGCCTTGCCCTTTGAAATGTTATTTTTTTGGTTTTGGTACGCCATCATGTAAAATTAACTTTCTTTCATTGACTGGCAGAAATTGTTTTTTTTAATACGTAGTACATTGGTGTAATATTTTAGAAATAATAATAACATTAATGTAGTTAGAAAGTTTTGTGTTAAATAGTAAGTAAATATTCTCGTTTATATCATGTTATTTACATGTTTAAAATAATTTAAACTATAATTCTGTTGTTCAAGGGATTTTATTTTATCATTCGTTTTTGCTCTTCTTTCCTTTTGAAATACTGATGGACTTTTACACAAGATCTGTATTTTTATTTTCACTTCTTGATATGTTGTATGTCATGTAGGTTCGATTTGAAGGTCTGAGCACTAGATATTCCTGTACCAAATTTTCATAAAAAGTAAGATCTTCTAGCTTACTTGCCATATTGAATATTACATTTTGTGCTAGTATTGTGGTGCTGGTGTAACAAATGATACTGTACTATGGAAACATTTCTGATTTACTCTGTGACAAAGAATGTTTATTTGAAACCACTGTTATCTTCTTATTTCTCAGAATGAACTCTAGGTTGCTTAGGAAAATTTAGAGCCAAGCCGTTCAACTATAAAAATTAAGTTGATTTTGCATTGTGGGCATTAATACTGGATTTTTCTGTTTAAGAATAGTTTGCAAACAGGGTATATTTCCCTTTGGATGTCTCAGACTTGTCAAAAGACTCTCTGTCACCTGTGTTCTACAGGCAACCAGCATTGTTTATCTCGAAACTATTCCCTCCCAGTTATTTGTACAGCACAGGAAATTATTCTCAAATAAGTGATGCAACCAATAAAGGTTATGCTATGCATTCTTCAAACTTGATATTTTTACCATGTTTCAAACCATATATCAATCGTATTATCTTATATCAATTTTAGAGTATTTTTAATTCGCCATTCAATGCTTCAATCTAAAATAAATCTCACTTATAAAGTTTTGTATGTTTTATTATATGACAAGTTCCAAATATTACACCAATCTATAAATTTATTTAAGAGCTAAATTTTTCGAATGAGATCATACAAAATCAAGTAAATCAACTGACATGAGAAATTCTATCACTAGAAAAAATTTTGTTCATAATCTTAAAACTGTATGAAGTACAGTTGTCTAAAACTTACTATTTTTGCTAATAGAGTTCTGAAGTTAAAAATGATTTATTATACATTACCTTTTAGGATTCAGAAATAATAGTTGCTCTAATGATTATAATTATTTATTAGTCAAATGCCAAAGGTCCTTGCCAAATATGTGTTTAATTGTAGAACACACAAGTAGGCATCAATAAATCTAATCATATTCGTAACTATTTTTATGAAATGTTGACAAAATTGCAATTTATGGTTTCCAATTTAATTGCATTCTATAAAATTGTAATTAAAATTTTAAACAATCACAATGATTGACATCAGAGAAGGAACTTAAGTTTTTGACTGAAAATTCATCATGTTCAGTAATATTCTTGAAATTATGAATTCATCTCGAAAATATTGATATTTTTAAGAGAAGAATGTGGTAATCATTCCAATTTTGAGTGTATCTGCTCTTCAGATGTCTGGTTGTGTCTCTTTTAAGAGCTTTGATATCCTTGCTATGTATACTATCTGGAAATTGATACAGGGGAAAATTTGTAGTCAATTAAATCTTTCGCTGCACTCTTACTGAAAATGTAGCTGTATGTTAATTTTCTTGCCTAAATTAAAACTTTGCATGTTGATATCCCTTGACATGCAATAGGTAGCCATTTTCTGCCAAAATATTCTGTTTTGGCAGATTTGCCAAGATTTCATCCTGTTCATCTGCATAATTGGTGTCTCCTACTTACTTGAAAGTGAAATAATGTTGAACATTTATATGTAAATTATTGGTCTAAGCTGATACAAGAGTTCTTAGTTAGTGTAAAAAATTATTGGTGATAAGTTAGTATACTTTTGATTGCTTATGGCGAACTGTTTTATTTGTATGCTTTTAATTAAGAAATCACAAAAAATTAAAAAAAGAAATAGTATTCTCTTTTTCTCATCATTTTTTCTTTTCCAAAAATAAATAATTTTTCTTGCCTAATTTTCATCATATTTTCTCATTTTTCCCCATCCACTTTTACATTTCTTAGTTGATTATGTTAAGTTGTTTGTGTTAAATAATTCACCTATGTAATCTGTGTTTAGATTTTATAGCAGTTTGTTTTGTTAAAATATGCAATTATTTAAACTAATTGAAGAGTTAATTCTGAAGAATTTGGATCTTTGTGAAAGAACTGAACTCTGCAAAAGAACTTTGTTGTGATTTCTTTGAAGAAATGGAAGAGGATTTTTCTATAAAAGGATATTACAAAGAATTGAAATTAAAACATGGAGTGAATCTCTTTCTTTTGCTCTGGAGTAAGAAAAAAAATTCATGATGTTCATTCAAAAAAGCATCCATGATGTTCTTTATTGAATTAGCTATCTTTGACATTGTGATATTGAATTTAGACCATTTTGGTTTAAATTGTTTTGTTATTCTTTTCAATAAAATGAAGTAAATCAAGCCATGATCACCCAAATGGTGATAATTTCTTTAGTCAGCTATGTAGTAAATTATTATTTCAAAAAGCTTTTTAGTTCTTAGTAAATAATTTTGCAGAGTTGGTGTTCTCAAAAATCAGATTTTTAAACTACATTTGTACTTAAAAGAAGTTCTAAGGTTGATATTTTGTAGGATTTTGCTTTTTCACTGCCATAACTATGTTCATCTTGTGTGCATGTCATGGCAACATCTACTTTTGCTTTGCTTACAATAGTAAACCAAGACTGATGCAAATCTCACACATTGAAGCATGGCAATGAGAGTATCATCTTGAATGGATATAATTTTGATTGAAGGGGTATGTTAGGTAATCAAGAGTTGGTAGTTGCACTGGAATGTTAGGATACAACAGTACAATGATCTTAAGAAATATTTTTTATGATTGTTAATTTTGGATTTGTTATTCTATCTTGCTTTTCATCATACTGATGATAAAATATATCCAGTTCACTTACCAAACAAATAACTTAGTTTTTTGCGTGCTCAGTGAATGACTTTGAATATACTCTGGTGCAATTTGTACATTATTGATCGCTTTATATAGTCATTCGTTGCTTGAACTTAACAATTATTTGTTACCAGTTAGTTTCTTTAGAACATTTATTTTTGTTAAGTTGATCTGTAGTTATAAGGTAGGGAAAAACATTATTTTATTACAAAATGCAGCAAAAGGCTGTTGTATTGATTTGAGTATTGCAGAATATTATTTTGAAAATTTAATATTACAGTATTCTATCACAAAGTGTTTCAATATGAATGCTGCATTTTGCTTTGTTGTGGTAGTCCTTTACTCTTCACATGAAACATTTTTGGTCTTCCATGGAAAGAGTTCTAAGTGCAATTGCCAATCAGTGGAGCCCCCTGATGAATGTTCTTTTTCTGTAATAAGGCCTAAATCAATATGTTGCTACAGTATTATAATGAAATGTTATGTAGCTTTGTAAATAAGAAAGCTTAATATCTTGTTAATTGTATGGGAGAGGGATAAATCTCAATAAAACATTTTTTACCAAAATGAATTTGTATTGCTTTGTAATTTCTAAGTATGTATTTCAATCTACATAACATCCAGAAAATTAAAATATATCATGTATTTTTGTCAAAGAGCATGATTGTCTTACAGTTTTATCAATAGAAATCATTATCATTTTTATCTGGTCAGTTTTGTAGTCAGTTGTTTTATAGTCTGTTTTGTAAAACTGCTAATGAGAATCACTCAACATTGGAGATTTTGCAATGTGTAAAAGACCGTAACTGACATGACAATGAATTACAAGATGTTAGGAAAATCTTTCATAAGTGATTTCTTTGTATATGACAAATTATGAAACAGAATCATCTCTATATTTATTCTAAGTGGCTGGCCAAAAAACGTCCAGCAAACAAATATTTCGAATTTATTGAAGCATAGGAAATGTAGTTTCATTTAGCAGATTTTTCTTAAGCTCTCTTTTGCTAGTTGTGGTGTGAATGGAGCCAGGAACGTGGGTTGAAATTTTGTTGGTAATGTTACCAAATCAAATCAAATCTGCAGTTTATCATTCAACTACATAGAGGGAAAAGTGGGGAGGTATTCTGGAGCTCAAGAAAACATTCACAGATTATACCTATCCTTATATCACTTTTTTTTTTACAAAAATGAAATCATAGATTTACTTTAAAATACCAGCTGTCTGTATCGAAATTAAACCAACTCCCAAATTCTTAGGTGTAAAGTGCGACGAGTTAGGCCCTGACGTCGCCCGCGTCTCATTTCGAGGCGCGTTCTTTTCATAAAAAGGATAATGTGTACGCAGAAAATTTCTCTCGCACTCCCTCGAAACCATACAGTTTCTTTAGCTTTTTGTAAGGTCATTTCTATAGCTCTTTGGAAGGTCATATATCCGCACCCCCTTTAGACCAGACAAGCAGCCGTTCGCTCGTCGGACGGCCCAGTAACCAGTCAAGAGCCATCAAACCCGCTCGCGCCCACGCATCGCTGGGGAGAAATATGTCTTGTTCACGAGTAAATTCGTGTATTATCTGACGCCACTGACCAGCATTCCCTCTGTGAACCACCCCATTTCCCATCGAGATCGGCCCGCGAACAACGCCACGCCACGCGCATTAGCTTGCTACTTATCGCGGTGGAGTTCTACGAGTTCTTTCGGAAGACGCGTCGCACTCGACGTCTTCAATAAAAATTGGAGAGAAAGAACGCCAGTCATCCTCCGAGCCACCCCTTTCGACCGCCCCCATCCCAGGAGGATGTCACTGGTAGACGAGGGCTTTCCAGGTCCTATAGAGATGCGTTGACAACCGTGGAAATAGATTCGCGCAAAAGTAATATTGCCCGACTCCCGAGGCGAGTTTGTTGCGTTATATGAAGCAAAGGGATGCTTCTTCACCCAATCAGATGTACAGGGCGAAGGAAAATCCTAGAAGCTAGACAATGTGATGAAATCGACAGAAACCCGCAATTTAGGCGCTGATGCGAGTCCGCGTTGCAGAAAGACTCAAATTCGATTGGACGAAAGGAGAAAAATGATAAGGGAAAGAGTTTGTGCGGGAGAACAGGTTTGCGAGGTAGGAGCTCTTCGCTGAACGCAGCAGGCACTTGACCTCGAGTAAAACAGACGAACATTAAAGTAGAGCAGACGAATAACTTACTGCAAGGAGAACAGGCGAACATGTGGCTTTGAAGAAAACAAGACCTTGATGGGCAAGTTCTCGCCGCCAATTTCTATTCGCGATTTGAACATTTGGCGATTGCCTTCAATACTCGATCACGCACAGCAGTGCCTGACAATAACGAATTCTGCAAATACTTCGCCCTTGAGACAGCGCGTTCGTGGCAATAACGCCATCATTGCGCCTGGAGCCGCGTGCATTGTGGGCGATTCTAACGCCCCGGTATCCTGATCGCTTCCGAAATCCGCCACCCTGTCGAGGCGGCGATCTTCACCCAGCGGGCCTAGACTGGCTGCCACAGCGGCCCTCCCACCCCACAAAGAGCGGCGTACCAGCCTCATTCGCGGTGCGTTTATTGGGTCAAAGGACGCTGACTTCCGATTCACGACCTCACCAATTGTAAGTAGACAGATCACATTCTAAATACGAGATGCACGTATTGGAAGGTTTTATGATAGTATTGAAACAAAAATGTTAGAGACTAATGAAATCAACTATTAAATCGCTAAGAAATAATAAAAATGTTACTGTAATGCATGGGAATTGTAATTTGTTTTTCTTAGGTTAAAGTTTAAGTAGTAAGTGTCAGAAATAGTTGAAGCAGTTTGAGCAAACATTGAGGAAATAAGTAAGTGGACTCCCTTCAAAAATCACGTTGAACGAATTACTGCATTTTATTCAGTAACTTATGTTGAGCACACCTGATCTCATTTTATCTGAAAATCTAACCCATAGAGATCCCGATCCTAAAGGTATCTCTGGCTGTACCGGGAGATTATAGCGTAGAAATCTTCGGCTATTGTCGAAGATAGGCGTGGAAGTTCAATTGTTCGCGACTTCCTGCCGAGCGCGCCTGGCGCCCAGCCCTAGAAGGGCATATGCAGAGGAGAGATCATATCAAAAGTGGGAAACATTATTATGAAAAGATAAAATGTCAATATATTTTAATTGTAAATATCACGGTTACGTGAATGTTGGTTCAGTAGTATTAAACATTTATAAAACATGTAATATAAATCGAAATGACCTTGAGAGAGGACATTTCCACAAGTACAGCAAAAGCGCACTTAATTAAGATAATAAATTATGTATAATGACTTTGGTTCATTATTATTGTAACTCCTTAGTTCACTCTCTCTATCTCTAGGTACTAATTTCTAGTGAATCTGCAGTTTTAAACAAATTATGAATAAATCAAGTGTCATTGAAATTAGTGAAGAGGGATGGTTTCAGTTTCACTGAAACGTCCACTTTCAAGATGACGTACGAAACGGAAGCGCCTAATTGAAAAATTGAAATCTGAGAACAGTCAAAAGTTTGTCATGTACAGTATGCTATTAATACATTTATTATTCCATAAATATTTTTTAAAACGCCAATGAAATGAATTCTTATTTTAGGAACACCGCCAATAAAATAACATATTTTAAAACAACTCTTAATACGCGATTTCAGTTTGATGGATTATTTCTACTCACAGTGTAAGAAATATTTCTTACATCGTGTATTTACAGTTATCGTGTATTTACAAGTATTCTTGCGCAGAACGACAAACGCACTACCGAGCTACCCTTATCTGGACGCTGCGTGCAATTTTTAAAGTTTGCTACTTTTGGGTCTCAGTGTAAAGAGGAGGGTGCCATCTTCGGGTGCGACACAAACGTGATCGTTTCGTCTAGAAAACTAGTAGAAAAGTCGCGTAGATAGTACGATTCCAAAGATATACGTGATATTAATATATTTTTGATGTGTGTCAAGCTAGAACAACCATGTCTGCACACTCGAATGAAACATGTCAAATGATTTATTGCTAATTAATTTCTAAGCGTTTTCGCGCGGGAAACAGATTAAACTGACTTAACGCGTCGCCAGCCCACACATAAGTTAAATTCGGATCGTAGCTCGGAACCTCTCAACTGAATTATTGCTAATTAATTGCTACAATTTGTTATGAATTCAGAATTACCACATATTTTAGTGCAGAAAAGGCTGTGAACTAGCTTGACGCAACGCCAGCTTACATAAGTTATTGAATTGCCACAAATAAGAATTAATTCCCACGTATTTTCGTGAGAAAAAAAACGAGAGTTCGTTCAACGCGACGCCAGAACACAAGTTAAATTCGAACCAAAGTTTGTCGAAAATCCTCAAATTATTTAATGCAAATTAATTGCCATAATTTGGACTTAATTGCCACTATTTTCAAGGAGAAAACGGGTGTAAGCACACACATGTTAAATTTGGATCGTAGCTCGATGGAAACCCTGAAATGATATTTTACTAATTAACTGCCTCGTATTTTCGTGCAGAAAACGGCTGTGAAGTGTCTTGACACGACTAAATTGGGGGAATTAATTAACACATAATTTGAAATTAATCATTTGACATGTTTCATTTGTTTGTGCTGACATGGCTGTTCCAGCTTGACATACATATATTTTTGTGACTTGTAACATTACACAGAGTTTTACAATACCCCCTCACACACGCGCACACTTGGACCCATTTTATAACTTCAAAAACAATTTCCAGACGTTGATGTATCCATGCTTACCCCCGCACGTATTCTCGAGCCCTCATTTCGCTTGATGAGAAAGGAGTGGTGGTTCTATTTTTTTGTTGACCAGACTATTGTATCCAATCTGCAGATCGTTTTTCAATGCAAAATAGTTTCTGTGTGGGAACGAACGGGAGCGTACACTTCTGGTTATCAGAGTTTGCCAACAACGCTTGTTGCTATTATTTACGCGTAATTGAACTAAAGTAGGTAAAGGAGTGAGGGTAGGTGTCCCATTTAATAAAAGAAGCGCGTATGTTAAATACATCGTATGTCAGACAGCTTAACCATCTCCCCTCATGGCGACTAAATCCAATCATAACACCTGCTGCTCCTTCACGATCCTTCTGGTTGATTAATTAGTGATTCCGGGCACGTCAGCTGCTAAGGTCTTTTGTCTCGTAACTGTAGTATTTTTGTTGCGGGAAGTGGCGGTGATCTTCCCCCGCTGGATGGTGAGATCCGGCGCCGACCTCGTCGACTTGCGGGATTTTCCCCATCCAGTTATCTCCCCCAGCGGTGCCCCACCTCGGGACAAGCTATAAGCTTTCGTCTGGTCTCGCGGCATGTATGGTAGTGTAGTGTATGTGAGTGTGTATAAGGGGCGAAGATAGGAAAATAAAGGAAAGATCGCACGCGGTCCGTAGTCCGATTGTTAGGGAATTTCTCGGGCATTCGCCTGGCGTTGATAGAATCCACGGAAAAGTACCGATTACAGCGGGCAGTCTCTCAAATTCTCCTCCAGACAGAATCTGAATTCTACCCAACAGTCTAGATAGTGTTCAAAATTCTGCCATCGTCGGGACTCGAACCCTAGGATATCCCGATCAGAGTCATTGTGGTGACATCAATTGATGCCCTGAGCTATGTAATGTTAATGCTGAGAGCGGTGAGAAGCAATACTAATCTCGGCGTTGGGCAATTCCAGCCCAACGTCCAGAATTGCTGCACAGTGGCTCCTGGAACACTCTTCTGAATTTAAACACTTCCACTTGCTACCAAAATCCCCAGACATGAACATTACTCAGCATATCTGAGATGCCTTGCAACGTGCTGTTCAGAAGAAGAACCACCCCCTCGTACTCTTACGAGTTTATGGACAGCCCTGCAGGATTCATGGTGTCTATTACCTCCAGCACTACAGAATTAGTTGAATCCATGCCACGTCGTGTGCTGCGCAACTTCTGCGTGCTCGCGCAGCACCCTCTCCACAAGGGGAGGGGAGTTGTGGAGAGCGTGCTGGCTCGCGGGGGCTCTCCACGGTATTAGGCAGGTGTACCAGTTTTGGATATTCGGTGTATTATGATACCAATTAAACAACTGTTCCACACTTGAGCAACCGTTTTGAGGTCTGGAATCACTGTTTGTTGGCCCAACACTAATACACACTGTACAATTTGTCTGGCAATATAGTGGGGGAATCGGTAGTCGTATGGTCAGAACCAACCTATCGCTCGACAAACATTTCTGTTGGACCACTTGTCTCCACACGATGCAATTTGTCGTATCGAAAAGCCGGTCGGCCCAACAAATTGTTTATGAATGGGCCTTTAGCAGTACGCTGCACCCATTAAACATCATCAGTGACGTCACTATGATGACGAGCGTGCTCCCTATTGGATGAAACCGTTAACAGCTGATATCTGCCAGGGGTAGAGTTGCATTTATCGCAGTATAATGCTACGGACGGTCTCGCGATCAGAGAATATTGCGCAAAGACATTGGAAATAATGACGATAGTCCACGATCAGAGAGCTCCACGATGCAACCTATTCCAAAAATATTTCTATTTCGCTTAAGCGGGCACAAAAACTAGATTCGTCCTCAAAATTACACTGTTGGTGTGCACAAATTAAACGATTAATTGCAAGTTTAATACTTTCTGCAACTTTCTCCAAGGTTGTTTTTTCTGGGGAAGGCGCCACCGTAAAGCCCTGCCCCAAGGGTACAGGAAATCAAGTAGCATAACCCTCCAACGCACTATGGACAGTGGAGTTGGATGAGCTACAATCCTCTGCCATAATTAAATAATAAAATTACGAAGAATAAAAATAATTGGGAAACCATGTACGAGCACTGGGAATCTTTCATATGAGGACACGAGTATTTGAGACATTTGCAAAATATGACAACTGATCATAGTTCTTTTAAAATACTTTTTTGTATTTTGAAAAGTATAAGAAAATTGTTGCCATATTTCTTCACTCACAACTTTCAGAAAATAGTTATTTATGATACGAGTGGTGAGAGTGCCATTTTCGTTTGTAAGTACCAAAGGTTGCGACACGAGGCAGTGCGCCACAATCCTACAAAGAAAATAAAATCACTTTTACCCGTGTGCCGTACACTATTTTTAGACAACCTTACTGATTTTTCTTTTATTCTAATTCAAGTAAACAAATCACTTAATGATACATTAAAATTACTAGTAGCTGATGCGCTCATATAAAAGTAGTACCTATTTTGTTTTCTTGTTGCGTTGGTTTCTTTGTTGCTTTTACTAATGGCTGTCTAATATATATTATTATAAATCTTTGCTTGGGCATTTCCTTTATTAACGTATTTCTACAGAATTAATTAATGGACTGACATCAACTTTAATAAATGTCAACATAAAGACTAACACAATGATGCCCAACCTCTTCTTCCATGGGCATCTTTTATAAGAATTGTTTGTTTCAAAGACCCCTTCAAGTGTTCGCTATAATATACAGCATTCATAATCATAAATTAAAGAATTGCACATAATGCCTTAAAGATAACAATTTCTTTTACAAAATATTTGTGTAAATATCTCTGTTTTCAAATAATCAAAGACGTGTATGCTTTTAAGTAGTAGCCGACTTTCTAATCTTCATTGTAGTGCAATGATTACACTAGTATTTTCTTGCGCAATGAGGTATCCTGAATGCATAATTTCATGCATAGTTATAATTTCTTGAGATGAGTTTGAGTTTTTTAAACATCCCAACTTTAAAGGATGAGATGTTTAATTACGATACGAAAGAAAAGGAGCAAATTTGTCATATATTTTAATGTTTTGTCGCTTACCAGAAAATAATTCATTAAATGTTTTTTGTATTCAATGAAATATTGATTATACTGATCAGTCGCCGATTCATATTAGGCTGTTGACCTCCAATCTACCCCTTGGCCATCAATGACCCCCTAAAAATTTCATTGACCCTCAGGAGTGGATGGTTACCTTTTGGGCACCTCTGGACTAACAAATCACCAATAAATTTGTCACACACACAGGAAATGATATGTATAAGATTTTCAAAGATAAAAGCTTATCCTTTTCCATTATCACATTGCACATGCTCCATAAACTTTCTTACAATATTTTGGCAATCTTTGACCAAAAAGACGAAAGCTATCACAAATAATTTTTATAATTAGGCATATAAATTGAAAACATATCTCTAAACAGTAATGTATTCATCAATAAACAATATTGATGCAAAAAAAGTAGTATAATTTTTTTTTAGTAACAAAATAGATTGTTTATATAAAGTATTCAAACTTCTTTACACTCTTCAATGTATTTTCAGTGAAGAGCATATTTCCTCGCGATAAAGACTAATTTGGTCTCATTTTTCTAATGTTAACAAATTAAATATGCAAATACATATTTAATGATACATGCTTCTTGCCAACATCTACTAAAATCATAGTATCCTTTACAAATATTATTTCAGCTTTTGCAATTTCTGCTGAAACATTCATAGTTCAAGTGAAGAAGAAAGAAATAAAAAACTTTTCTTTTCTTTTCTTCTTTTTTTTTCCTCAGCTTTTAGAATTCTTTATTAACACACGATAGCAATTTGTAACATTAATACTGCAAATACAATTCCACACGAGTAGTTACAGATTACATTGCATTTACATATTTTTATTAACAGTCCATATTCAATAAACTATAATTCTAATTCTTTTAAACACCAACAATTTTAGTAAAACTGACATCTCAACATAAGAAATGCTGGAGATTAAGAAAGTTTTTAAAAATTAGGTGTGAAGGAATTTCGGAATTATATTGCTCTAAATCTTTTTGTTCTTGATGAATGAGAGCCGCATTCCACCCACATTTTATGGCAGCAAAATAATCCAGTACTGGACTGTTACCAACATGTAATGCATGTTCTGGCAGCACTTTACTACATTGCAAAGCTTTCTGAAATATTTCGCAATGAGGTTTTTCATAACCAACATTGTATGATGTAAACACAAAATTAAAATATGGTAATAAGCCTAGATGTTCTAAAACACTAATTAATCTTTCATCATTATTTGATAAAACTCCTAAAATGATCTTTTGTTTTTGCAAATTCTCCATTACTTCTTTTACATGAGGGTACAGTTCATAATATGAACCAGAACTATATCCTTTGATAAGATGCTGTGCAATTAAGTCTAACTTTGATGCTTCTAAAAATGAATTTCTGGTAGTACTTGCTCTGAAAGTCCTACATACAAGTTCGTACCACCACTTCTCCCACCCCAGCCCTGACATTTTCCCGAAATTTGGATGTTCTTTATTCAGGAGTTTCCAGTTTAATTTGAAATTAGAAGTAATGTCCTTAACATTTACTTCCACTCCATACATACTTCCAACTATTGCATATTGTTCCGGAGGAGATATACGGAATTTCATTAACGTTCCTGTAGCATCAAAAGTCACCAACTGAAACGCACCAGCAAACTTCATACTTCAGTTTGATGCCAATCACACAATAAATTAAATCGACTGATAATACATACAAGTTACAGATCAAACTCATAATCCTGCAACCAATGACCTGCGACTGGCACAGACAGTCCGCATCACATCACAAAGCTGAATGCTTAAGATATATACTCTCTGGCTTAATGTGTGTCAACTCCTGGTCTAAAACTAAACCTTTTTAACGCTAGTTCTTACAGTTACCAAATGCAGTGCTGCTGACGAACCGGATCCTTTTGGGGCGAGATGGCGGGCAATGTGATTAGCCAGCTGATGTTCCATTCTAAACACGGTGTTTATGAGGATTCTATATTGTAGGCGTGGATATACGCAAACAGAGCGAGTTGAAAGTGTTTTGACATAGTGAATTATACGTGTAGCGATTCGTACACGAATAACTTTGTTTACTACTCCAAAGATTGAAGACATGCAAAAGAAATAATTAATAAATGTTACACAAAAATAAGAGCAAATTAAACTGCAAAGGTTACATTGACGAAAAAACTTCAGTATGAGACATATTATTAAGACAATTATAGTTAGAACACACTAAAAATTATTCTTACACCGTCAGAAAGTAAATTGTAAAATCATATACAATCAATATTGAAGTTTATTGTCTTATACAATCAGTCTTATCAACCGAAATATTTATTACCTATCCCATACTAGCGGCCTCCACAATATTAATTAGAAAGAAAATTAAAATTGTTCAATAATTACATTATACACTTAAACACTATAAGAAATTATAATATTTATTGTAAATATGGATTTTTCGAAGTACCTCAACGTAATTTCTGTTAAAAAGTATGTAAAAGAATATTTTTAATACTAAATTATAACAAAGTTTGCTGAATTTATTATTTTGTGAATAATATTGTATTGATATATTTTATTCATTACGTTATTTACATTTATATTGTTAATATATGTACAATATTGAATTAATATTATGTAAATAACAAAATATTATATGCGCGTGACGCCAGTAGTGTGCACTAGGCTACAGATACTAATAATAGGCAAAGTATATCCTGTGTATATCCAAGTTGTGTGTAGCACGGAGAATCGAGGAACTAGTCTCCAGAAAATCCATGAAAGTTGACTCACCAATTCTCATGGTTCATTACGAACGAATGTGTCGAAAAGATAAGACCGGAGACCGACTGATCCTCGTATGTTTATTCATCCTCTCGTTAGATAGCAGGGCAACCACATGAATTGCAGCGCGGCGAACGTGAACATCGATAGAGAACTGTACATGACAAAAATAATATTCACTTCTGTTTAAACTACGAGAGATCATTATTTTCGCTCAATAATGTGTATAAAGCCCTATCATGGGTAAGCACGAAAAAACATTTGCCCAAACTATTTGCCCTAGCAATCAATTTATTTGATCAATGACAATCCTTGACAATCAATTTGATATTGTTTTAAAAAAGTTTCTATTTTAATTCCATTACTTGTATCATCTCCTTTATTATAGGAAGACAATTTTTAAATGTACTTATTTTAATTCCATTATTTGTATTATATTGTTGGGTCATCTTTTTTATTATTTAAGATTTTGTATTTATTTTTGTACATTTCTAGACTCATGATAATGCCCAAGCTGTTGAAATCCAGGTCCCTGAATAAATCTAGGTTGATAAATATTACTTCAATTATTTCATCCTTTCTTCATCCAGTAATTGAACCTAGGCTTTTAGGCTTGTGAAACAAGTTTGCTGTCCATGAACGATGTGGATGCTTCTCAACTCACATATCCTAGAGCATGCAAAATAAATGCAAATAAAGCAATCCACCTCTAATGTAACCTTCATCTGAACCACATTATAATTGTCAATGAAGAATCAGGTAGACAAGTTGAACACCATGAATTATAATAAATTTCCTCCAGTAAATATCATTCATTTAAGAAGTATGTATAATACGTATTAAATACATGTGTTCAAAGCATATTCGTCTTGAAAAGTTGCAAAAAAATATTGCACATCAAATACCTAATGAACAAGGAAAATATTGCAGTGTTAGGTAATTATTAGGGGTTGGATTTATTTGCACAAATGATCTACAAGATATGTAACCTTTTATACAGTAAAAATTTCAAAAATATGCACTAAAAATGTCCTAAAATATGTTCACCCATCAGATTACTGTTTCTCATAATTTTTTCATCTTAATCTTTCAAGGCAAGATATTTTAGTAATGATAATCTAAATTACTAATGTTCTTTCAGGAAATGAAATTAAAAGAAGATTAGATGTGGTTTCACCTCAGTATCATTTTACTCCTTTACTTTAGATCATATTATGTTCTTCTATTCTATGCTTTATGCTTTGTATTTTCATTCTGAAAAACAAATTATGAATATAAATGTATTAAAGTTGTTTCAAATTAAAGAAAAAATGTACTCAATTAAGTGTCAATTATCTTTCTCAAATAAAGTTAGGTTACTAGCTTTCTTACCATATGATTTCACATATTTTAAAACTAAAAATATTTATTTAAAAGATGCAGCACTTCTTGTGAAAGTACATAGGGATGCCTACTAGGGCAAGACCAATACTATCACAAATTTTAATCATTAACTAACCATGTGAGATGAATAGGCATTCCCAAACAGTTATTTTTTTGTGTAGGTATCATGTTTCCTGAAGAAAATCATTAAATTGTACTTCTTGAAAAGTAAAATTACAAATTATTTGAACATCATTTTGTGGTTCTAGAAATTGACAACTCACTGAATAGAAGAAGGAAAATTGGTAGGTAAAATGACTCCCAACCTGAACAATAGAGTCCTTCCAAAGGAATTAATTTTTCATTCCTAATTTCTATAAAGCTAGACAGAGTGGTGTAAGTGGAAATAAGTGTGGTTTTTAATCAGTGAGAATTTCAATTGAGATGCAGAAAGTGATAATGAGCCATAACACACTTTTTTTAAAACTTGAGACATTTACAGGATTAGATTGTCTTATAGTTTAAAAACAAATATTATTATTGGATTTCTTAACTTTCACAGTTTTCTCAATCTTTCATACTAAAATTCAAGAAAAATCAAATTTTTGCTTTAATGAATATAACTATTCTCCAGAGTGAGCCTCAGCTACGATGGCGGATAACGAATGGCCTGTAGATATACAGACTAGGGATAATAAAGGCAATATTTCTGGAGTTATCCGAGACCAAAGTGGCTTGGAGACTAGAGTGCGAGAGTATGATCCATGGTGAGATCACATTCATGAAAAGACACAGAAACTCTACCTTGTGACATGGCAAATAAGCACTGCCATTAAATAAGTGCTGACCTTCTGCCTTGCGGGTAGGAATTAGACCAAAGGTTGAGGGAAGGAAAACCCTGACAGAAAACAAGGGTAGAGAGAGCTCTGGAAGGTGTAGTGAAGCTAATATCTCCAGGGGAGTAAACCCTATACACTTGGGACTTGGATACCACCAGATAAAACAATGTGTCAGAACATTGAGAATATCAGACTGTGACTCAGATCAATTCCTTGTAAGCTAAATATAGACAAAATATATCACTTAATAGAACACAGTAAGCTGACAGTAGCCTTAGATATGACATAGGAAAATTTAATCAAGTGACAATAGTAGACAAATTCAAGGATGAAATAAAAGACTTCCAAGAAAGACAATCCAAAGGCGCAGGAGGAGAAGAATCAGTAGATAGCAACAAATTAAACTAAGTATGATAATCTCAGTAAAAAAGATTTTAGAGGAAAAGAAGAAAACATGGTTTGATGAAAAGTGTAGAATGGTAATACAAGAGAAAGAAGAAAGGAGAAATAACATGTGAAGAAAAAGAAGAACTAGAAGTATGAGGAAGCAAGACGTAAGGCTAAGAAAGTAATTTGGAAAAAGAAAAGACAATATGAAGAAGAAAACTTAGATGTTATACAAAAATGAAATGGAAGGGGTGAGATTAGAAAATTGTATGAAAGAATTAAAAATTATAAAAACCTAAAATATTTTTATGTAGAGATACAGAACAAAATTCGGTTGTTACAGAAGATGAAGTAAGTGGGCAGAACATTCTCATCAATGTTTGAATGGAAGAAATTGAATAATTCAACATGAAGATAAGGTTAATTTTTAAGGACCAGCCTGGAACTTAAAGAATCCACAAGAAATAAAACACAGCTGTAAGAAAACTGAAGAATAATAAAGCCCTGGGTTTAGATCAAATAGCAGCAGAATTTATAAAATTGAGACCCAGAACTTTGCGGAAGAAGGTGCGTAATTTAATATGTATAATACGAAGAGAAGAAAGAATGCCAAAGGATTGGCAAATGTCCATTTTAAACTCTTTTTATAAGAAAGGGAATAGAATGAAATGCAAAAACTACAGAGGTAGAGCTTTGAGAGATCATGGAGAAACAGCATACAATACTAAACACAGGATTGAAATTATTAAGTATTATATGAATTTGCAGTATCATTCAAAGTGGTAAGATTGATACAAATCACCCTTCAAGACTCGAGTAATGTCATTAATTTTCAAAGGAAAATATCTAAGAAATTCACAACACAACGTGAATTAAAGCAAGGAGATGAACAATACAATATTATATCCAAAAGAAATGATAATGGACCGGTTTATTATTCGAGGGTTCCGAGGTAAACGAGAGAATGACGAAATTAATGAATCTTTCAGTCAAAATCAGAGATAATTAAAAGTGGTTTAGCCATTCTTGAGTTATAAATGGTGTAACTAACCCTACTTTGTTTTATTTATGTATTTAGATGAAATATATGAAACATATGTTCCACGTGACTTTTCATCGGTTATGAAGTGCCAACGAATTGTGAGTTCCTGTGCTATTTGCGTAGAAGTGACTTCTTCCGTAAATTTTTATAAACGTCGGCTTTTTAAATATTTATTTTAGAAAGTATTAATTATCACGGAGAGAAATATTACTTGCATAAAACTTTTAATAATCGTTTGGAAAAAAAACACA